GTGTGTGTGTGTGTGTGTGTGTGTGTGTGTGTGTGTGTGTGTGTGTGGTATTATTAAAACAAAACATTATAATCATCAAAATAAATGTGACACTGGATAAATGCAACTTTTACTTCCAAAAAGGTAGAATTTTGAATTGAGTTGAGTTGTGAGTTGAGATGCGTTTTAAATCTTTGATCAGTAAAAAAAGTTTAATATTTAATGCAGCACAATTGAAACATTATGTTCTTTAAGTATTATAATTTCTTTGGAATGTTTTCTATATATAATATATATATATATATATATATTTTTTTTAAATCTATTGCACAAAATACGCAAATGAAATAATGATCAATGAATGATATATAAAGAAACAATTTGATGGAGAAAATATAAATGTATGTATATACTCACATAACCACACACATATACATATATGCATTACTCCGTTAATAAATATTACCAAGTAGAAATATCTTTGTGCACATATGTATAAGTTATGATGATAAAATAGCTAGGTCACAGAAATAATGAAAATGCTCGAGTTTTACTACATTATATCCAAAGTAAAATGAAATTCATATTAAAAGCAAAGCGTGTAACTCAAAATATGTTTCAACCTAATGTGGACTTGATGTAGCATTTATCTATTAAAAACCATGTACAATTTTATCTTTACAAAATAAAGCCACAAAATGATATCTGAATTATCGTATGTATAGATGATCGAGATGTATTTTTATATCTTTAGCTGCTTTAGCGTAATATAAAATAATCCACGAGTTTGACTATTATTTATAAATGATTATAATATTTTTAACTGTCATTCTGAAGCCTATCACAAATAATACAAAGGTACAGGCAATATGAACAGGGAATAAGCCAGGCAACCAGAAATAACCACATTTCAACTTACCAAAAACTGTACTCAACGCAATGGAATATGAAATAGGCAATAAGAACAGAATTTCCGACGTGTTGGATTTCTACTCTCCATTGCCTGTACCTGACCAATTACAGTTTTGCAGTTTTATTATAAATTGAAATAGGGTTATTTTCATTGCCTATCGTATTCCCGGTACCTTTGTATTGTGTGACAGGGTCGAGGATTGATAAATAATATATCACAATCTCATGCTTCAACAGTACCGCTGAAATCATTGAATGGAAAATTTTGCATAGATTTCATGTCAATGTCATTTTATTTTTAAATGTCGAGAGTTCGTGGAAGTAATATGGAGTAGTCATTTATATTACTAGCTTTATACTATTTAACACTATATTTTCGCGGGATATGTTTGAAACTTACCCGCTGCCACGTACATCGAAAGACGTAAAAAGTAATATAGCTTATTTATGAATAATGTAATTTTGGAAACTGACATGTAGCCAGCAATTATTTACAACTTTCTAAAGTATGTTTGGAGCAATATATTGGCAGTTCGCTAGCTGCAGTCTGTATTAATGTTTTATTGTATAAAAACTGTAAATTTATTGAGCGCAATTGTTGCACAACAGCGAGATCATTGCACTATGTTCATCAACTGCACTGGATTGATGTATTTGTCTGGCAGAATGTATCGTGCAATATTGACAATTATGTTGGATTATGCTAATCTCTTTCTCTATGTTGGATGTTAAACGCTCTGTCTTTCTTTTTACTCCTATTTACTTGCAGAATTCTCGTCACATTAGCACCGTTTATATATTCGTCGATTTTTTCTTTTGTTGCTTCCACACAGATATCCTTTCTTTCAAGTCGAGCACTGCAATATCAATAATAATTATCAATTTATTGCATAATCTATAAAATTCTTATAAATTTTTATAAAATTATATGTAATTGATATGAAAATAAAATGTTCGGCGGTACCTGTTTTAAAGTTAGAATAATGTAAGATTAAAAAAAATAAATTATTGAAATGTTAATAAAATTTAATGTGAAAAATATTTAAAATCAAAAACTATACAATTATGTCGTGCATCAAATACTTCTGGAGTACACTCTATGTAAAAATGCATTGCTAGGAAACGCTGCTGTTATTCATTGGATGAATTTGGGCTAAGAAAAATTGGATCTTATCGAACAAAAAAAATGTGAATGGTGCACTTACTTGGTGTTAGCATGTCTTCGCTAAGTGGCTGCCGACTGAAAGGATCTGTGGCACTATTGAGTAAATGTCTAATGATAACTGCCTTGTCCATAACAATACCGGATGGTAGTTTGACTGGATCCTCCATAAGAGTATCCATCAACGGATCTCGAAATTCCTCAGGAGCATCGCCGTAATCTGCGTCACGTGCGCGATTATCTCTCGCGATTATCGCCGCACGCTCCGCGAGCGCTATGAATCTCTCGATTTCCGTGGTAGTTTTAATCGCAGACCTTTCTAGCCTGCTCGCAGCGTCAGTGAATAATTCCTTACAGAACGAGCGCTACAAAAGAAAGCAAAATTTTATATAGATATGTAATAGAAAATGTATAAATGATGAGTGGGAGGACACTAACTTCGTCACTGGCTAAGGCGGCCGCGAAATTATCACAGTCAAGATGTAAATATATATCAACCAATTGGCTGAGTAACGTCCTTGGTTGCCACCCGTACTTCTGTGGTTTTCTCACTCTCAGATTTTTGCACTTAGGTCCGCACAACTGTTGCAAATTGAAATTTAGCATGGCACACAATCGCCCGACTAATTCCGGTCGGAGGAAGGGCTCCTTAATGTCGACCGTCAGATAGTGAAACATGGCAACTGTTTCCTTGGCTAGTGTAAGATAGGACCTGGCCTGTCTCTCGTCCGCTGCCAGCTGCCTCGTCCTCGACTGCTGTTGCTCCTGGGTTAGCGCACTCCACGCATTAGTATCTGACATGAGTTCCTGCACCTCGTGTATGCGCTTCAAAGATTCCAAGCTCTCGTCGAGTAGAAAGGTGGTGTCGTTCATCAACATGTTGACGAACTTGACGAATTGCTTGCCGTTATTGCTCTCATTGACGATAGATGCTCGATGTACCGGACTGTCCCACATCGACTTCAAGATCAGGCTTATGTGATAACGTATTGAAAACTTGTCGTAAAACTCTGAACTGGAGCCGGTCGTTTCAACGTCGGTGTAAAATTTCATGAGGTACGACGCCAGAAGTGTCTTGGATACAGGATGTGCCATGACTTTATCGTGGAGAGTCTCCGTTCTTCCCTGTGCGGGACAGTTGTCGATATAGTAATATAGGGATTATAGGGTATAATTTCGATTTTCCTCACAAGCTTACCTGAACACTAGGATTTATCACAAACAGGACCTCGATGATTTTTGCGATTAGATACGGATTTCGTATACAATGCGGCGTACACACGACGACCAGTAACCACGTGATAAGCGAATTATCCATATTATTTGCCACTACTCCGGGACAAAACCTACAACCAAGTACGGAATTATAAATATTAATAATGTGTCATGTGTAATTATAAGACTTAACCATATAACAAGAACTTACTGGAGCGTAAACAACAAGAATTCCGCTATATCCTCCACGTACCATTCTGGTAGTGCGGTAAACCTGCATGTAACTTCCTGAGGAAGCGGAAGTTTGGGGAGAGGGTCCCCCGGGGCGGTCTGTGTCAGAAGACTCAACAAAACCTCGGCCACAGATATATAAAAGTGTAAGCATCTTCTTAAAAAGACGGGATCTATCAGACCCGCATCCGCGCACAATTTGGATTTACCTAATCGCTTCAACTGCTGCTTCCATTGCTTAATTAAGTCTTTGTTATGTTCCGCGAAGGGGCTATCCTTCCACTGAGGTTCCGTGGCTTGCAGTTCGTCGAGCATCTTCTGTAAGTCGCGTAACGCCCGTAATTTTCTCTGATACTTTTGCAACGCCGGTAAGAGTGCGATGTGATGGCAATGCAACGTCAAGAACCAGCATTGAGTCGGAAACTTCGATTCCGCCCACTTATGCGTCTTTTCTAGATGCTTCTGCCATTCCGCGACTTCCTGCGAAGTAAGTTTCAGTCTTGTGTCGTTCTTTATTTCGACGAAGCTGGAGGGATGAAATGGATACAGAGGGTCTACGGTGTCCAGTTTGATTTTCACAGAGAGCATTTGCAAGACCGACAGTAGATTCAACATAAATCCATCACCGGCCAGAGAGAATTCCTCGGTCTGTATTTGCGCGCGTTTCTCATTATGACGTAGCAATGCGGCTAAGTACGTTAAAGTAGCATCGCGGCAGTTGCTGTTCGCAAGTATCGCGTGAAACATCTTGTGCAACGATGTTCTAGTACTTTCCAATTCTTGCTGCAAGGTTAAATTCACCGATTTGTCCGTGAGGGAACTACCACTGAAGAACTTCTCCGCTACCTTCGGTTGTTCCTCAGCAAATACCGATATCGAGAGAAACGGCCCTAAAAACGAGGTCCTCGTGAGTTCTCTGCCGGCGGCTGACGTCATAATATCGGGCAAGAATTGCACTTGATTCGTAATCAGACGGCATATTGGACGTATGTTGCCGCTTGGTCCGCAGCGAATCTCTATCAGTTCTTCTAGCGCCTCGATCGGTCTTCTGTGTGTATTGCCGACCAAGCTTGCCTGTTGCATCGAGAGATACAAGCCTTGCAAGACCGGGGTGAATATTTTATTGAACGTGCTTGGATTCGTGTGTGTCCTGGCCACGAGTTCGTGAAGATAGCCTCGAGGTAAGCTTTGCGACAATATCGGATAGAGAAGATACGTGGTGCACATAGGGATAACTGAAGCTTGAAAAATGCCAACCAATCCTTGCAGAACGAGGCTGGAGTACTGAACACATTGCGTTTTCAAAATCGTCAATACGTCGGAAAGAGGCGGTATGCTGGATCGCTACAAAACATATATAAGCATAAGCGTCAGTCGAGAAAATTAATTGGTTTAATGAAACTTCATCTGGTTTAAAAACTAGATATATTATAAATACCTTCGGGTGATTTCTCTCCTCAATTGCGACTCTCGAATAACAGTCTAACAAGTAAGTTAAACTTTTTGGTTGCGACGACTTGCTGCCTATGGGCAATGGCATAGTCGGTAATTGGTAAGGCGGAAGAGCCACAACAGGACTTAGCAAAGGACTCGCTTGGTTATTTGGACTGTCCTGTCGATCGGACGACATATCTACCGTGATATCCTTCAAGGGGTCCTCCGTTTTCGAGAACATACACAAAACCTCCATCAAGGCCTGGTTGACAATTTCACTAAAATTCAGCTGTCTTTGCTCTAGCGTGTACGCTGCTGTTTGCGGTAAGAATATAGTTCCTTCCGCGGGACTTTTCCACGATATACGCAAAACACGTGATATGACAACATATATGTGATCTGTTGTAACCTCTGTGCTAGAACTCGTCGTCTAAAATGCAGCAAAAATAAAAGCAGATGAAAAACAATGAATAGATCATTTCCATCGTACTCGAAAAAGAAAATAGATTCTTTCTATTTTCTTTCTGGTTTTTATTATTATTAACATTACATGCACGTGTATTATTTCTTTTTCTTTGCATTATAAAACTACTTACACGTGATCTTGATATTGAGTCTTTCCTATCCGATTCGTCAACCTCCATGCTTTCAATTCCTGAATTATCCATTTCAGTAATATTACATTGTTTATCGTTGTTTTCCTCTACTTCCATCGGTACCTCGGCATGCTGTAATTGTTGTTGAATAGACGGAGATATTGATCCTGCAAACGCCTTTGATGGCTCCATTGTGCTGGGGGAAGTTGGAGCAATGGCATTAGACGAACTGGCAGCTGCATTACTATTGTTTAAGCCTTCTAAACGGGCTAACCGCCTTCTCCTCATCTAGAGCAAAAGTGAAACAAAGGAAGCAATGAGACTCCGAGCTCTCTTTAGGATTCTGTCAAGGGATGCTTAAAGCAGATTGAAATGTCTTTGTTACGTATTACTCATGAGCTATTTTTATCCGTCGATTTGGAATACCTCGCGACAACAAAGAGAACAAAAGCTATGGTCCATGTCATATATTTTAAACAACGTGACAATACAAAAGTCTCATTTCTTTGATACTGCACTACTATTTAGAGATATGAATCTCGGAGAATAAAATGGAAAGTCATGCACTCGTTAAGAGACCACAATTTTATCACTTGCATAAATTACTGTGGCTATAATCTGGCTAGAAACAAAGCAGACGAAAGAAAGAGCTTTATTATCACGATTACAAAAACTAGAGGAATTATCAAGCAGCCAACATTGTTCCTGCAAAGCATTCGGATCGTTAAAACATCAGGACTAACACGGTGACAAATACCATGGCAAATTTTTTCTTCATCAAATCACAAGGTTGATTTGCATAACGTCCATTGTATAAATTTTTTTGCCAACACGTGGACTGCCTCGTTTTACGATCGACAAAGAAAATCTAACGAGGAAAAACCCGACTTCGGGGAAAAGTTACGCCTCGAGATCGAACGCGAACAATGGACCTGTCCCTCGCGACTCGAAATAAAAAAATATACATATAAATTCGAGATTTATTGGGAAAGAAAGAGAAAGTGGACGGAGAAGATGACCCCGAAAGACGTGAAAAAGTGCCGCGGAAACGAGCGTGGGCCTCGTTTGTCAACAAATCGGGGGAGTCTGCACCCACACGAGGGGAAACGAGGTAAAATACCCCGCGTAGGAGGACAGAAGTAAAAGAAGCAAGGAATATCAGGAGTGTTAGGCAAAAAGGAACCTCGAGGAGGATACAGGCGACAAGGATGGAGAGAGGAGAGGGGAGGGGGGCACACGCCACACGCTTTCCTTCACCCACCTCTTCCTGGCTCAGCTCGCTCATGGCGATCGCTCTTTATCCGCTCGCTCTGGTCTCCCTTGGTCCTCGAACTCGGCTCGGCTTGGCTGCTATACGCGGCCTCGGCCCGCTGCGCTCGACTACGCGCCTCTTCTTCGCCGTCGCGCCTCCACGCGTTCCGCGTAAATCAGAGGGGGGCGGGGGAGGAGAGGGTGCGGGCTCGAACGCGTGCTCGCGCGACGACACGACACTCGTGGCCGAGATACGTCAATGTCAGAGATCTGGACAGTCACTCCACATCTGTTTTGGCGTTTGGACGTGGATGCAGTGGTCTCGCGCCGAGTCACGGGCAGTCCGCTCGCTGCGTCGTCGACTCTTCAAAACAGCTGAGCAACCAACGCGTCGACACGCGCTTCCCTAGCTCCCTCCGTCTCCGTCTCTCCGTCCTCACCTCTCCTTCTCTCGCTCGTTCTCCCCCCTCTTGCATCGTTCTCCTTCCGTCCTTCTCTCTCTCTTACGCCGTCGTGTGTCGGTGGGAGTAACCTAAGCCCATTTTAGACGATCTATAATTCAGGACAAGGGTCGAATAATTTGACGCGTGACAAGCCCGCGTTGTGTGCGGGGGATATAAATCCGTTCTGAACGACCTACATGCCGCGACGGTAGTCCGCGACTTCTACGGACGATGCAAATAGGTCAACGATGGGCGATAAATCCTCCATTTTCAGCGATCTACAATTCGCGCGAGAAACTTCGAAGTCGAATTTCACGTGTAATTAAAAGTATAATATAATAAATCTGTGATATTCGGTAATAAGTTTTATAGCAACTTGTCTAACTTTGTTTTCATCAGTTTTCATTGCCCCATGGCGAATTGAATTTTCCCGCACGCACGTCGATAGATGTTCGATTATCGATTCGCGCGCGATATTTTTTTTAAACGCGCGACCGACGGTATTAACAAGTAAGAGGCATGATCAATGGCATGAATGTCGTGTTTGTGCTAGCGATGTTACTTACCGAATCATATCGAGATATAATATGAAACGCCAATACATTTGATAATTTAATAACATTAAAGAAATACAGGCGCTATCCCTCTGGCACCTTCGCGCGTTTTCCAACTCTGACAATTAAACGCCAACTTCACGCGTTACATTTTTCTACGCACGCGTAAATTTGCATGTGTATATAGGAGCTTTACGTATAATATACATGTGTTTACCACATTGTCCCGATAAACGCCTAAATTCACGCGTTAGGGCATCAATGACCCCGTGTATACATACGCACATATATACATGTTCTACGACACACATTTGTGCTACCAAAGGCCTAAGTGGAAAAATCAGTTCTGCATTCCTTGCTCCGCGGCGTGAAAATTGCTTGGCACGCACCGAGATGTGCGACGCGTCGGCGGACACCGGCCCGACAAGAAACAGCGAAACGACGTACAGCAAACGTGAAAATCACTCTCGTCGCGTCTCGCGTTCTCGCGTCGATCGGCCTGTCTCGATTTGAAAGGGTTCGAACCGTAGTAACCGCGGCGCGAGACCGCGAGGTTAGGTTAGACGGTGCGGTTATTCGGCTGAATCAGCAGCCGTCTACGAGCGATTGACGCACGTCGCCGTCGGTGGCCAGGTTGTTTGTTATATCGTTGTCGTCGCGACTCGCGAGACGCAGTCGTCGGGTGATTGTCGAGGGCGTCGGAGCGAAAACAGTCTCATTTGCGTCTCCTATATACCGCAACCTTGATTGCATCTCCTGCGGCAACCTTCATTACGAGCGGCACCCCGGCGAGATGGGCATCTGGGAAATAATCGATTTCGCGTCGCTTGGTAAATCCTCGCTTCCGCAGCAAAGTGCGCTTCTCGTCGTCCCGATCGATATCGATCCTCGCTTTCTGTTGCTTCCATATGCTTTCATCGCGCGCGCGCGCGCGCGCTCTCGGGGAACATTACATCCCGACGCGTTGAATGCCAATTTCTGTTAATAGTCTGAAAAACCAGCCGAAGATTATACATGATATACAATTTTTTATAAGAATAATAAATACAATTTTTAAATAAAGAATAGATGAATATACTTTTTAGTAAATGCGCTCACCATCTCACCTTGTTCAAACAACTCGCTGTTGGCGGTAGAATCGGACATGTTAAATAACAAGTTTGAATTTCGAGACTAAAATCGAATCTCTGTGCAGTGTTTATAAAGCGTGATATCTTTTTATTTATATGATATTATAATTATAAGATCGAATATCATTAATGTCCTCGATCGTAACTTGCGTAATAACTGTTTGCGTCGATTTGATATGACATGTAAATTATATGTAAATTAACGAAGGAGACAGGATAATTCCATGCTATTAATAATTATATCGAATAACGCGAAACTGCGTAATGAGACTTTTACAAGCTTCAGGGCCTTAAATTCGAAAGACATCGCAAAATGAAATAGCTTAAAGATATTTTACTTTTTAAAACTACATTTTCTCTGATTCTTGATAATGTTTTCGCTAGAAATCTAAAAATCATTAGTTTTATTTTGAGAAATTATTATTGCGAGTCCCTAATGATAAGTTTTGCACGATGATAAGTTTGCTAATAAATATTTGATAACGAGATCGTGCCTTGTCTTCTCAAACTGTGTCAACTGAACGACGAGTATGATTTGTGGTCATAACTGTGCGCGATAATATTATCTAATTGCATACGATTCTTATCTTATTGTTAACTTGATGCGGAATTTTGATTACGTTTCGCAAACACGAAGATCTTTTGTGTTACGTTCAGATATCGTTGCATGAAGATACATCTCTACATCGCGTGTCATATCGTCACAATTATTTTTGCAATCATTCAAGCTACGAAGTTATAAATATTCGTAATACAATGCATTTTTAATGAATTGAAAATCGCCGATTGTGTGTGTTTTTCTTACATTTGAAACAATTGTTTTCAGAATGCGCGCGAAACGTTGGTTCTTTCGATAAGTTACATCATTGGTTGTATCGAACTCTACGAGATTTCGCGCGCATGGTCGTATCGAACTCTGCGAAATTTCGCGCGCAATAGTTGCGACCAATCGGATCGAACGAAACACGTAGCGCGGAATCATTAATTGTAATTGCAATGTATTGGCTGAAATTGTATTGAGGGTGAAATTTGAAAACAGTTCGAAGAAAGAGTAACAAAACTAAACTAATTAAAAAAATTAAATTAAATATTGTTATACATGATGTGTTATATATGGTTAATTTTGTCTCGCGGTATATACATACATACATGTAAATATGATATCTTTTGTATCATATATATGATACGTGTATAAATATGATGTAATGTATCTCTGGCAAATTGATAAACGTTTCTTATTTCTTATCACTATCATTATCCGTGTATTTAAATAAAATTATATTTATATATACATTAACAAAGTTACACTTTATGCTTAAATTTTTATACAAATTATTTTTAATTACATGATATATACGCGTGTATATTTCCCCGTTGGCTGCGAATTTCTTACATGTTACAATAAGCTGATGCCGGCTGACGGGATGTACCGTTTTGCAGACGCGGATATTCAGGAGCTGATAAGGGAGAGCGCGACGGTGCGCGAGAACTCGTATTCGCCGTACAGCAAATTCAAGGTCGGCGCCGCAGTGCGATGCGCCGACGGCAGCATCTCGCGGGGCTGCAACGTGGAGAACGCATCCTTCCCGGCGGGCGTGTGCGCCGAGACCACGGCGATCGCGCGGGCCGTGTCCGAGGGCAAGCAAAAGTTTACGGCGTTGGCTGTGGTGGCCGACCAGGAGAGCACCACGTTCACCACGCCGTGCGGGGTGTGCAGGCAGTTCATGTCCGAGTTCGGCGACAACATACCCATCTACCTGTCGAGAACCGACATGAAGAAAGTTCTACGGACTAAGGTGAACGAACTGTTGCCGCTCTCGCCGTTTCGCACGAACGATACGGAGACTTCGTAATTTATCCGTCGGCGACGCTCGAACAATACGGAGGCTACAACGAAAAGCGGTGAACTTTTTCTATGTACTTAATTAGAATATTCATCCAGACCTGAACATTGTAAATCTTGTTACATGTATGATTCGGCGTATTAACACGAGTCTTTATTTTCATGAAATTGAGATCGATCGTATCGTATTATTTACAATGACGTGATACATGTGGATATAGATTAGTTGTTTAAAGTGATCACAATAACACTGGAACGAAAGTATATTCTTGCTGCAATCTTGTTTCTCCGAAAAGAAAAAAAAACATGATTTTATATACGAGACATTATCGTTGATTATTAACTAAACATTTTTAATGTACGCGATACGCCAGCATACATCTTGCTCGCTGTGACTTGTTGCTCCATTATATACAAATAACACAATAACATATTATATGTATATACAAATAATACAATAACATGTTATATGTATACATCTTGTAAGATTATCGTGAAATTGCAAACATAATGATTTCGCAAAGTTATAAATGCAAAAATACACGATTAATAGAAACTACAGAGAAAAGAAAAAGATATCATTGAATATCGAACACGGGATAATATTACGAATGAGTGAGCTTTATAAATCTCGTTGCTTATGGGACTTCACCTTTGACGAGAAGATTCGGTCTCTCGTTTACCAAAACGGGCACCTGTAATAATATGCAGCAATGAGATCGACGTCTCCACGTTTTTATATAATTTATATACAATTGTCTCTTGTAAAATCAGAATAAACTCTAAGTAAGTTTATATAATATGTATGTATAATATGTTTATATAATATGAAAAAAGATGCATATGTTGTAAATGATAAAAATAAATAACTGATGTTCCTGAAACTTTATAAATTATAAATTATTACATACCATCCAATATAACATTGGCAAAGGTTTTCGTTATTTGTAGCCTGCTGAATCAATAGATCGACTTGTTGTCGGACGCTGAGAGTTTCCTCGTGCGAAAAGTCGCGTCCTGTTAACTTGTCTCTGACTCTCGTTATGATCGTCAAAGCTTTCTTATTCAGCGCTTCCGGTTGATTATTATCAGCTACAAAAATTGCAAAAGCGAAGGCTGTAGATGTCATGGTAAAAAAAGTATTTATCATAAATGATTTATATATATATATATATATAATTTTTTGTTAAGTTTGATCAATTTTTATTAATATCTTTATACATGTCATTAATAATAAATGTGATATGTTGCGTCATACAACCCAACACTAAATATTAATATAGACTTAGAAGCAATAATGTTGCAAGTTACGTGACGATGTTAAGTGAAAATTGATTTAAAGATGTAATTACCTTTACCTCCATTTTCGATGCTACACGGCACACCCTTCTTTGATAATGTGGCGGTAAGAGAATCGAGCATATCGCCGTGTTCCTGACTGCTGCTGGCGCTCATGCCCTGAGCATCCGATCGTTTGCCCTTAGGCACCGCATTGTCCATCAATCTCCAATTGAGGAGCGGATCGTAAACGAACGCTTCCAGAACTGCCATTAGACTGTCCTTGTTTCGATGCAACACGGACATCACAGACTCGCAGGTCCTTCTATACGTTCCTTCGATTCCAGTCACCTCCATTGCGTTGATCAACATCCGCGTCAGACGGAACGGTATCTTCTCCGGGAACTTCTCGCGCGTCATCGCCACCTCAAAGCAATCTCCGAAGTCGATGTGCAATATCTTACCACTGAGACGGTCCAGCATCAAGTTAGACGGATGACGATCACCTAGACCGAGTATGTATCCCACCATTGACATCACAGCCAGAGAGCGTGTGTAATTTGTCCTACGATCGAACCATACTTCGCTCGACGGTGACTTTAGCCACAATAGTCGCGCTAAGTCGTCGCCATGAGTATGCTCAAGCGCATGCTCAAACACTTCAACTTTTTGCATAAGCATTAGATGATCATAGTCAGGTGCCATCTAAAAAAAAATAATAATATAGATATTAGAAAGTAACGCATGTCTGTTGCTCCATATGAAAGCAATCAATTTATAATCGAGTCCCAGGTGTGATTCCGACCTTTCCATATGCCTCAGTTTTATGAGGTTGAGTGAAAAGATTGAGAGAAGGAATACACGACATGAATAACCCGTTTTAGAAATCTATATTTCAATATGGATATGCAATAGACGTGAGAACATAAAATATGTCATGTCGTGCAATGTATGCTAGAAAAACTAGTCCTTAAAAATTTATAAAGCCCACTCACTCGTAACATTATTCTGTGTTCGATATTCAGTAATATCTTCTTCTTTTCTCTGTAGTCTCTAATAAGCGTATGAAGCGTGTCACAATGTGGTACCCAACCGATGAGACCACTGTTTGTAGACAATGGAATCACAGCGTATCTCTAAAGAATCACAGCATAAGTCACATGTTTCTCTAATAATTATATTATAATATATTATAAACCAAATTCTTACTTGAATAGTGAGGTTTCTTCGGAAGGTATCCGGATCGTGTAACAAAAGAGTGTTCACTAAACCGAACAACTGCATTACCCTTTCATCTTGTCTTAGATCCTCGTGACCTTTCAATAAAAACATATAATCCTTACCGTTGCTACCTGCAAAATACACGTTAAAGTAAATTTATGTTATTCATATATTTCGCTTAATCAAAATGTTTTAATTTACTTCCAAATAGTAGCTGACCTTTAATACACAACTTTCTTGGCCTCTGTTTGCTAGTTATCACCTGCATGGAGCTATGAATACTTGCTATTCTCACGATAGGATGGCCAGGACTGTAGCTTCCCGGCACAGCCAACTCCAAGTCTCTACAGATGAGCAATTTTGGGCTAACGTATTGCAGTTCCAAGCTGGTCAGTTGCGGCAACTGTCGGGATATCCTCCGGAACACGTGATAATACAAATCCCAAGCTTGATTCAAATCTCTTACATTTCGAGATGCTTTATATCTGTGACACCATTCCTGCGCTTCCATTAAATCCCTTCCATAAGCTTGATTGAAGGAGGTTTCTTTTAGAGTTTGCGGCCCTCTTTCGAGCATGGCGTGTAAGGGCTCCAGCGTGTCAAACATGCCTCTAACGTTCCTCTCTCCAAAGTATAATCTACTGGCCTCTTCCAAGCCCTCGTGCCACAATTCGTGCCACAAGATCGCGACCCTGATGAGCTCGTCGCTCGCCATAATGGCCTGCTGGACCAACGTCGGACTGTGCTCACACATGCTCTTCAGGATTTTGTTAGCCGCGGTCTTTCTCGCGTGACTAGCGCTCTTCGAAGCTACTGTTAATGGATAAACCAAAGCCTGAGGATGCGTCTTTCCTATATCTATGAGAAGATGATGTATGCACCGACCGACCAGTGCCCTGGGAGTGTCGATTCTGGCTATAAGTTGCGGAATCACTTGCAGCCAAGTGTTTATCTCTATTAATCTTATGCCTTCGACAACAGCGTCGTACACCTCCGGCCACTGGCCGTAATCGAACCAGAGCGTGAGCAAGCGGAGAGTGTCTTGCAGGGAGTTGCCATCCGACAAGTTGATGGATCTGAAAAATCCCTCCACAGCTGGGACAGTAAATTGAGATATATATTGCGAGCTGGAGAGATTATTGCGCGTTCCGTTGCCCGGTGCAGTCTCCGCGGGCGCAGATTCACTACCTTGCTGATGCTTGTAAAACAATACGGTCTCGTAATTGGTGTAGGCGAAGGCGTGCCAAGCTTTGTACCACGTGGGATCGTGCTCCGTCGCCGCGGCGTAGTAAGATAGTACCGCAGGAATAGAATGCTCATTTATACCCTGTAAAGACTCCAGCCACTCGCCAAGCTTGAGGTAGCATCTGGCGAGCAATCTCTTTTTGCTCTCGTGCTGTTTCTCGTCTTCTTGATTTATTACTGCTGCTGTTGTCGGCTGCAAATAGGTTTGCACGAATCGCTGCAGCTGACTATAAGCCTCCTCGCGTTTATTGGCGACCCACAAGTGCTTGCAATAAGCAAAGGTCACCTGGGGATGAGTAGTCGGTAGCGGCTGATCCGGAGTTGAGGATGGATCCGTGCCCATCAGCATCACCAGCGTCTTGTGACACAGCATCAAACTGCCGCTCTTCCGACAGAGACTGGCATATTTAAGCCACGTGTACATGTCGTCGTGCGGCGAGACTACCAGTGTGTGCACCTGTATGATCTTCTGCCAGTCCTCTACGATCTTCTGCCCACCTTGAAGCCTTTCCCACCACATGGCCTTTATGGCCGCTCTACGTTCGGGCACCAGCTTAAACTGAATCACCTCCTCTAATTCCGCCAACTTCTGCACCTCCACCATGGCGTTGTACGCCCGCTGGTAACTCTCGCCAGCCATGGCAGTCAGTTCGGTGTCCAACAGATCCCTAGCGGTATCGATGAACTGATGCGCGACGTTGTACTGTTCGTCGTGGATCGCCAGTACGGCTCTGTAAAACGCTCCGTCTTGAGTATCCTTGGGTATCAGCGAAACGTACTTTTGCATGCTTTCCCACTGACCCAAGCCCCACGCCGCGGCCGCTGCCATTCTCGACATTCTCTGCTTGTTATCGTCGCTCTGATTTGTCCATTGCTTTGTAGCGACCTCGTGCAATTGGCCCCACTCGCCGAGAGCCTCTAGACAACGCATCTGCCCCAAGGTAGATTCCACGTCCGCAGAATCGCTCTCCAGACGTTCCTGGTACAGCTGCAACGCCTTGTCCCAGTTGTGAAGCTTCTCGTACCAGCGTATTTGAACCTTGAGATCCTGCTGGTTGTGATTCATCACATATTCCAGCAAGCCCTCGGCCGCCTCTTTCTGTTGAAGTTTGTTATTAATGGAAATTAGGGACTCAAACACGCTACTGTTTCTACTCTTGTGGAACTCGTCCTCCTTGTAGTGCAACGCCTTTGCATACGCGCGACAATGCATCGCTGTGTCACCGAGAATCTTATTGTCCAACGGCAAGGGGCCTTTGTCACAATGCTCCATGAATTCTGCCAAATTCAAAATGGTCTGCGTCACCTCGGGAGGCAGGTCAGGTACCATCAATGCTTGATGCAGAGTCTGTAT